CTAAAAATAGACCTGTATTCTTCAATAATGTGAGAAATGATACTTACTTTGAAAGTGGTTTAATCATTTCTAGAATCTTTTCTAGAATAAAGAAACGCTATTGAAGTCAGATAGAAGTTTTTTGTATGTAATTCAATGTTAACTGACTGACTATAAGTTAGTTTCTTCAATTATTAAACTGCTATTAATATAGATATTTATTCTCACTTTTTCACAATAATGTAAAAAAATAGTTTTGAATGAGCGAAATAGTCCCAATTTTCAAAGGTTCTGGTAATTTATTATAGATATGAATGGCCATAAAATTGATACTTTTACTATTAATTTGCAATTGTTGAGAAGGAAGTCTAATCCAAATTTATTTCGCCATCATATTTTTATAACGTCTCAAGTTATTTTAAACAATTCTGGATTTTCGTGTATAAAAACACAAAGTGCGCAGCTCTCTAGATACCTCAAAACCTACATAAATCTAATGCACTTTTTTGCCTGAGGAAGGCCTTGTCATCTGGTCTATTCAAATATATATATCACTAATCTGCAGTGTGCTGATTATTTTATTTCCCGTAGTGTTACTTGATACAAATCATGTTTTCGTTATTTATTCCCAATAAACCAATAACACCATCTTTCACTATTTTTATAAATGTTATGATATTATTTTTTCCAGATTTGCCATGAAAATAAAATCCTAAAAAATCTCAGAGCGAAGTGTACTTTTTTACAAAAAAAGGTAAAACGATTAAGTGAAACGATACGCAGACGTGATAAAAAGCTTGCAGTCTTTTCGGATATAATAAAAGATCTTCAGAAAAGGAAATTAATAAATAATGAAGAATCCATAGTTTTGGAAGATTGTGCAGGACCCCAAGATTTTTTGAAAAGACATATTTCTAAATCTAAAGGCCTACCTTTAAAACAAAAATATAGTGAAGAAATAAGGAAATTCGCCCTTACCCTTCATTTCTATTCGCCAAAAGCGTATGAATTCATACGTAAGAACTATAACTCTTGTTTGCCACATTCGCGAACACTAAGTAAGTGGTATCAACATATTGATACTGAACCTGGTTTTACCAAAGAAGCTTTTGATGCTTTAAAAAGGAAAGTTGGTGAAAGCGATCACCCTGTGATTTGTGCTCTAACGATGGATGAAATGGCTATTAGAAAATGTTTAACCTGGGATCCAAAGGTACAAAAATTTTATGGTCGGGTTGATTATGGTCATTATATTAACAGCGACAGCGTGGAAGAGGCCAATCAATGTTTGGTGTTTCTTATAACAGCAATTAATGGTTCATGGAAATTGCCAATTGGATATTTTCTTATTGTATCCCTTACAGGCGAGCAGAAGACTTCACTTGTGCAGACAGCACTACAACTTTGTCAAGACGCTGGTGTTAAAGTTGTTAGTATAACCTGCGATGGTTTGGTTGGTAATTTCAGTATGTTTACATCTCTAGGCTGCAATGTTCTGAAGGACCAAATGTCAACCTATTTTCGAAGCAATGGAAGTCTAGTGCATATTTTCATCGACCCCTGCCATGCTATAAAATTAATTAGAAATGCTTTTGGAGAATTGAGAATCTTTATCGATGGAATGGGGAGAAATGTAGATTTTAAATATATGGAGCTTCTTTTAAATTTACAAGAAGAAAAAGGTCTTCATCTAGGAACTAAACTAGGTAAAGCACATATATTATCTGATAAACAAAAAATGAAGGTCAAACTCGCGACTCAACTACTAAGCAACTCCGTGGCAGATGCACTACAATTCTGCAAAAACAAATTAAAATTGAAAACCTTTGAAGAATCCGATGGCACTATTAATTTTATAAACATAATAAATAACGTTTTCGACGTACTCAACAGCCACTCTATTCGTCCTCCGGGTTGGAAAAAAGCCATGTGCCCTGAAAACATTGGCTTTGTGAGAGCATTATTCGAAAGTGCAATAGGTTATATTAACAGCCTAAAATTACCTACAGGGGAAGAATTAATAAAAAGTAGACGAAAAATTGGATTTTTAGGTCTGATTATTGGAATGAAAAGTGCATTGGCACTCTATGAGCACTTAGTCGAGGATACCAAAGTTTTGAAATACATTCCTCTATACTGGGTGTTAGGGGAACGCTTCCGAAAACGAAAACCAGTGATAAAGTAAGTGATTCTGGATACATTGCAATGAAAAAATTATTACTTTATTTTTCAAAAAAATATGTTATTTTTATTTTTTTTTTTCATTTTTAGCGATGTAAAATAAGTTAAGTATTACTATTTTTATCAATAAATTTGTCTATTTATTGATTTTCCATAAAAACGCAATGTAATTAAAACTCGAAAAAATCAGCTGATCGGCGGTAGACGACCCCGAGAGTTTAGAGAATAGAGATTTTTTTTATAGTATTCTACAAATGTTTTAATTCCAAGTTATATATATTCCCTTAGCTTACATCACCGCATAAGTCATTTGTACCAACTTTACAGAAGCCGAAAATAACCATATATTTCAAATAGTAGAATTTTTCTGTTTTTACTCAATAAATATCACAGTTAGCAGTTAAGAAATATTTATTTATACTTATTTTCACGATTTACACAGACTTTAAAAATAGGTTGTTTTTTCGTCTCCTGTATGGTTATTAAAAATGTCTTATGCGGTGTTGTGAGCTAAGGGGCGATATGTGTAGTTACATACACTACTTTGTTTCACAAATAGTTTCATATAAAACAAAAGCAATTATTACCTAAATACACATACAACATGACGTCAAATCTACATTACATTCTCTAGGCTCTGTTCGCCCAGCATTTTCAAGAGTCGACTAGTAACTCGATTTAGATAACTGAAAGGTCGAAATTCAATTACCACAGATATGACGTCAAATCTACATTACATTCACTAGGCTCTGTTCGCCCAGCATTTTCAAGAGTCGACTAGTAACTCGATTTAGATAACTGAAAGGTCGAAATTCAATTACCACAGATATGCCATTATAGATCAACTATAAATGTCTGTTAAAAAGTGGGTATGTGATTGATTACACTTTCACCATCTTCTTTGATCTTAAACTCAAATATAACATGAGTGTTGACAAAAATAATTTCATGTCAATGTTACTATAATTTCATGTCAAATTTACACTACGCCAGAAGCTTTTCTCTGATTCTAACAAATTCTAACTTTTGCAGTACTGTTCAGAGGAACCATAACAAACGCTTCTTAAATACCGAAAGGGGTCGAATTTTGTAAAATCCCGTCTTATTGAACACCTACCTCCTAAAAAGAACTCGTATAAACTTACATCCCCTAATTTAGCCCCTTCGGGGTGGAATTTTCAAAAATCCTCTCTAAGTGCTCTTCTACACTCCCAAAGGAATCTTCATTCCAAATTTCAACTTTCTAAGTCAGTAGTGGTAGTGTATATATTGATTGTTTTTGTATATTTTATCTAATATTTATTTGTCAAAAGACCGAATTTCAGCAGAACAAAAGTCTTCCCAACTGTGAATCAACTAAAGAAAAAACTGTCAAAAAGGAAATAAAAAACTAATTTACCTTTAACTGTAAAGTTTTAAATTATAGTATTCCTGTGTGGTAATTATTACATTTATATAAATTCCTACAGATTCGATATCGATATCAGTTCAGTTTATGAAAGGGCAGCCCTAGCACAAGCCGCCATTTATTGTTCTGATTGAAGAGTAGGTATGGCACGCTTAAATTGTAGGTATGCCGTGTCCATGTATTTTTAGGTCAATGCAATATGGACTTGTTCCGTTATACACGGAAATTTTGCCAACTTATTGGTTATGAGTTGTTTATCGAGTTTTGAAAACTAATTTACTTTTAAACATGAAAGAAAACCGTAAGGGTTGTCATGGAAAAAATCAAGAACGTACCGTAGCGACATCTAGTTTGATTTCGGAAACTAATGTTTTTTATTATAAATACTACCTCATTTGTAAGTTAGATATTATAATAAACACGAAATAATTTGTCATGTTTATTAATTTTCGATTCTTATTTTACTTTTATTACGCCAAGAAGAGAAAATTTGAATTAATATCATAGACAATTATCCGAAAATCGCTAGTGACATCTAGTTTGCTTTCAAGAATTAACTTTGAGTCACGTGTCTCTCTCACTACGCGATGTTGGCAAAATTTCCGTGTATAACGGAACAAGTTCATATTATAAAAAAATCTTCCTCAGTAAATATGAAAATTAACTATCAACATTTACTAATTTTGTAAATGTTCGCTCAAAATTTGTAGATCTTAGCGTTACCAATTTAGCATATTTTGAACTTGTTTGGCATATCTTTTTGGCATCTGCAGGTTAAAATCAAAAATAACCCAAGAATTTAGAAATATTCATTAGTCTGTATATTTTGTTGCCAACTGCACGTTGATCTATTTTTCAAAGCATACTATATCATCATCATCAGCCCATACTCTTCCACTGCTGGACATAGGTGTCTCCAAACGCGTGCCATAGAACTCGATCTTCGGCTACTCGCATCCAGTGTCTGTCAGCCACATTGCGAAGATTGTTTTCCTACCTTGTTTGAGGGCGTCCCACACTACGCTTGCCGATCCGCGATCTCCACTCTGGAGTGTGTTTGCCCCCACCAATTTTTGGTTCTACAGCTAAAGTAGTGCTGTCACTTCAACACCTCAATTTGCTGATTCGGTAGACTATGTCGATTACTTTGGTTCTATGATCACCTCATATCAGATTCGATCCTTCAGAGAAACTGTGCGCATAGCTCGCTGAATAATTTTCATCTTATGGACAAGACCCCTAATCGTGTCCACATTTCAGCTCCGTATGTCATAACAGGTAGGGCAAACTGGTTAGAACTTTCGTCTTTAGACTTTGTGGGATAGATTACGTGAATAACTGACGTAATTTAACAAAGGCTGTCCAACCCAACAGTATTGCTCTATCGAGTATTCTTAAATCAAGTGTAAGAAAATAGAAACAAGGGGTTTTTATATTACATCATTTCATTTATTTGCTCAACTTACTGACAATTTCGAAAATCACAGTTATTTTTGACAAATGTTGTGTCATTATTATAATTACACAAATACAACTGTCTTCTATGTAAATGGGAAATGGGTATAAAATGGTATTAAATATTAATTATTGGCCACAGTACATTAATTAACATTGGGTATTCATATAAATACCTACAAATGGATATCAATAAAACATCATTCATATAATTTCGGTAGTGAACAAAAAACTTTCTCCCATTTTTCATTCAGAATATTATTTAGATCAGAAAATAGATAAATAGGAAAACGAAAATTAAATATTATATTTAAAAATGACAAATAAACATCTTTATAAAGTGAGCAAACTCGAAGGGCGCATATAAAATAGATAATATGTGACACGCAATGTACAATTGATCAAGCGAAATCAACAACAATATATTTAAATTTTAAATAACTGAAGTGACCTACATACAAATAACAAAACAAAAAGCATGTGAGTTAAAACTATGGAAATTTATAAGAAAAATCACAATATGCCATTGGAATTACATTCTACAAATACAATAAAATCGAATGGTGTCAATTGTGATACCGCTTACGTTAGAACTTAGAAATATTTTATGGTGGGATCGTAGCTCATCTATATACAATACCAACAAGTTCAATAGACTTATTACAATCACGCGAGTCACCTACTTCTTCTAAGCGTCGCACAGTATTGTACAAAATCTACACTGAATATTGTTCATTCAGATATTTAAAGACTGACATTATTAACATTAGTCTATGTAATTTTGTACAAAACTGTGATACAAACTTTACACAGATTTATTGCATTCAATTACCATACTACTTCAAAATATGTTCAAAAGTGCTACTTTTAAACTCCTAACAAATTTTCGCTCGTTTATAACTGACCAAACGCTAGGGGAACAAGAAACACCAAGTATTCCTAGAATGCGGTAACAGCACTCGCGATAATACCATGAAATGTTTAAATAATTACAATTTCGGATCGCATTCACGTCTATATTGTATGCGTTACCAACGTTAGTCAACGAGCGTTACAACCGTACGATACAACTTTACGTTGACATCGTCGACTCCTTTCACGCGAGCTTCATAATCATTACTCAGTAAAATGTACATTAACACAACTGCACGAAAGAAAAAAAAAACGTCCACAAAAAGTTACATACAATAAAATATTAAAACGAAGCCTACCTCCGGAACTACAACGCGCAAAAAGCGTCCAACGTCACACCTTTACAATACATATTACTTTAAAAGCGGTACACTAAACGACCGCAAGAGAAAAAACATTAGGATCGAATATCGTCTTGAGATCAATCATAGTACACGAAGCGGCGGATCCGCGGATCCGCGGATCCGCTACTGACTACGCGAACACTTCCACCGGCGAGTTTCCAGCACGGTACTAATTATACTAGAGCAGGAAACACACGGCTGCATTAATATGTACTGCGGTTAGAAAGAGAAGGAAGATCCGTTGGCCCACCATTTTCTATTCACTCGCGAATGCATACAGGACAGCATATGTATCGAATAATAGAATCAAATCAATAAAGTTATTTTAAGTAATATGTAACATTAATCAGATAGATGGGGTATATCTTCTATCTCTTACTAATCGAGTACGGTATTGAGACCTGCCTTTCGTACTCTACTATAATAGCTCTATGGTCGCCAGCGACGCATGGGGAGATATCGCTGCCCACATGCTACATGCCCTCCACTGAATCACGCCACAGTCGATCACTAGTACCCGATTGAACAATCTAATTCGCAACGTGAAAACTAGTAACACTTAATATTTTCACTAATAACTGATACATGCTAAATGCTTCAGTTGCATTGCAATTATTCATCGAGTAATGTGCCGTTGAAGTTCTTTCAACTATCGACTGGCGTAGAATCAGGTCTCCTCGTCGAGTTAACATTTGCTAGACGTAAAACAGTGAGGTCTATAAATTGGCATCCGTCATTGCATTAAAATATTATAGAAAACTTAACGACCTCACTTGTGTATAGTCTAGCATAGAGCGGAATACCTCGACAGATGCGACTCGGTTTTCAAAACAAAAATTTCGAGTTTGACGTCACTCCTTCTAAAACGGAGTAAATTTAAACAATCAAACTGGATGAAGAAAAAAGCCGAGCCGTATCGCTTAGATGGCAACTCGTTCGAATGAAACTCGTTTCCACATGTATTTCCAATTGACAGTCACAGTTAAAACATGAAATGATCAATGGTTATATAAATATCTATCTGAGAAACAACAGTTACTCTGCCATATATTTCTCGGAGAACCATCAAAAGCTTCAAATTAAAACTGTGACTAGAAAATTTTAAAAAACATTCAGAGTAAACGTGCTTGAATCGTCCGAGTACGCTACTGTGTCTAATGCCCGTTTCACTAAACCTAGAAGCTGCTCAAATTTGTCGCCTATACATTTAAGAATCGCCTAAGTTGGAAATATGGATTTCACCAATGACTAGGAACTACGTAACGACATCAAGCAATGTCTAAAGCAACGACATGCGTTAGGAATTCGCGTAATACGACAGATCACGAATGTATCAAGAGGTAAAAACAAAATGTTTATTTCGAATAACAAATATCTTAGGCGATTCTTAACATTAGGCATTTCCTAGTTAAGTGAGAACGGGTTTAAGAGGTTTTCTTTGGTATATGCGAGGAGTCGTGGCTCGTTTACAATGGCCTGACGGACCTTTGTAAGTGAGCCACTAAGACGAGGAGGTGGGCATGTCTCCCGGCGGTATTGCCTACGCCTGCTTGACACGTTTCCGCGGTGGCCCTATGGGCGGTATCTGCTGCTGCTGCGTGGCGAGCGCGCGGAACGCCTCCGCTATGAGGTGTGGATGCGACGATATCATGTTCTTCCATCCCGCCGTGTCCATCACGTCCGTCGCGTGACTCCTGCAATAAGGCATTTGACAACATTAAAATATATATATTATAATTTGATTATAATTTTATATTATAATTTCCCATCTCAGGGTGCCAGGGACCAAGTGGATTTTTTAAGCATTTTGTATTAAGAATAATTAAAATATATAAATATATATGTAAAAAAATGTGGTTATCCTCACTGCATAGTATAAAATAAAGTCGTTCTCTCTGTCTCCTATATCTATATGTATGCTTTAAATCTTTAAAACTACGCAACGGATTTTGATGCGATATTTTTTAAATAGGGTGATTTAAAAGGATGGAAGATAATAGCGTATTTAATTTTATTAACACATATTTAATTTTATTTTAAACGAATTAATGTATAATTTTTAGAGATTACACAAAAATATAATTAAATATTATTTTGATATTTTATCTGAGACGACAACGCCTTGTATGTGGTTGCAACTACGACGATGTCACACGCTAGTAAATATGGGTTCCTGTTGACGATTATAGTTTGATGGCGATCGTTTATTTACTTCCCTGTGACGTCATACGTTGCGTAATAGCGGCGTATGACAGACAGCATTTTTTTTAAACTCTGATTTTTATTGACAAATACAGTAAAATTTCCCTAAATATTAATGTAATGTACTTATTACGTAATAAAGAAAAAATTAAAACAAGTTTTGAAAATTAGTTAAATACCCTATTGATTGATACAAGTTCAAACATTGTACACACAGCATGCTACCACAGACAATTATTATATATCCTATAGTTGGTCGAAAAATGTCAATGACACAGATATTATGAAATAACACGTATTGTTATGTACGCGGGACCTGACCCTGCTTCTGGCGCATAGATAATCTTCACGGATATGATTTTAACAATATAAGAATAATTTAAAATTTTAAAGAGTTTCATTCGAGGACAAATAAAATAGTCATAAGGCAGGTTTTAGCCTCTGCAGTGGGCATATAAAAGGCCTGATGATGACAATGATGATACTTTTAGTATGTGCATTAATTAAAAAGCAATCTTTCAGATTCTAAGCAATCTAAGCAGAAGGATCCATGGACGAAATGTCATGAAAATTAATTGGTACAATTCCACTGAGGAAGAGTTACAAAACAGGAGGACATTTTTACATTGACAAATGTTGGTAGCAAAATATGTCTTATTCAATTTTATAATAAAAAATACTACATCAGTTGAAATGATCCTCCATCTTTTGACAAAAAAAAACATTAAAAAAGAAATAGCCAAATTAGTTCAGCCAATCGAAAGAGTTTACGAACCAACTGCGTTTTTATTATCTAACCAAAAAAACACTTTCAATGTAAAATATAAATTGACACTCACGTATTAATAAAGTCGATGGTTTGTGCCTTGAGCTGGTCTGCTGAATGCAGGTCTGCCAAAATGAGCGTATCCGCAGCCGTCTCCACCGATAAACTCAGACATAACGCCTCTTCACACATCACTTTTAACCGGTCGAGGGCGTACTGAAAATAGAAAATATTAACATTATTAATACACTTATGGGCCGGTTTCACAGTGTCCTGATAACATCTCGGACAGTTCTATGTAACACATATGCCAATAAACAAACTGGAAATATTTTTATAATTCACACAATAAACACTGTTATACTAGAAACGTGTATGATATATCGAATTAACTAACTATAATAGTAGCTAAAGAAAGACCGCTAGTAAAACAGCGTATATAAGTATCGGAACTGTCCTGTAACAAGTTACGTACGATATAGATATTATCAGAACACAGTGAAACAGGCCCTTAACTTTTTCAATGTTTTCACTTGGATGAATGCGATGTGTTCTTTCAAAACAATAACAGTAGATATCCCGAAATCTATAGTGATATACGACTGTTTAAGACGAATCTTCTAGTTTTCGTTGGTTAATAAAGTTTGATAAATAAATAAATATAATTGGATTAAGTTATATCCAGTTATATGCATGCTACTTTAGCATGCATTAGCATGCATATAACTGGTGTAGCAGCTTCACCTCTAAACTAGCTGTTGATTAAGTGATCAATTTTATTGACTTCGCTTTTCTTTAAACAAGTTAACAAATTAAAGAATATAAAATTATATTAATAACAATAATTATTAAAATTTCCGCACTAAGGAAACTTATAAATAATTAAATAAACAATAAAGTATAAATTGCAACTTAAGATCATTGAGCAAAGTGTAACAACAATGCCTTGTCCTACATTTTCTTTATATATGTAAATTTAGTTCGATATAAACAATTTACATTCTGTGGTAAGTGTCAAGGCATGGATTTATGAATTTCAAATGTGCTATTTGAGTACAGCAATTCCTATGTCCATGAAATTATAATGAACAAAGACATTTATCCAAATTATCGAAATATACATTTATTGTTACATTAATGATATTGAACATCATACATCATTATTAAGAGACTATCTACTTTGTTAAATTAAGTTTTTTAAAGAAATTTGCATACGAAAACTGCCATTGACATAAAGTACTTGTATCTGTACGATCCTCTATATCCATATTCTTTTATATTTAACTTATAATAGGGTAAGAGCCGATGCATAATAAATTCACAAAAGAAAAAACAAACTATTCTGCACTGACATTATAAAAAGGAAAGATTTGACTGTTTGCAAATCGATTTAAAAAAAAAAAAACTTTTAAGTACGGTTACAATCTTTTAAGTAAGTTATACCATACGCGGCTTTAATTTACGCAGGCGAAGTAGCGGCAAAACAACTAGTACGTAAATAAATGGTCCGAAATATCTATAGAAATTTAAACGTCTAATACAGCTGGAGAAGCCTCATAGTATCGTTTTTCCTATACCTTTTTTCTCAACTGGAAATCGAACCGAAGACCTCGAAAATTTCCTTTGTAATTAACACATTATTAATGTGTGCCTTTGCTTTTAGTACGTTTAGCTTCCGATTTTTTTCCACTCATTAAGATGGCCTGTGACTTAGTAGAGGAGAAATTAATTACTATTTGATTTAATTAAAAAAAACTACACATCATTTTTGATACAAATTATTACATAGAGGAAACTATGCGCTCATTAAACAAACATACTAATTATTATAATGATATTATTTATTGAAACATATTTTCCATTTTGTGAGGATAAAATATACAACAGGAAAACATACAGATGATATGCGCGACATACTATGGTTTATATATGTCACAGTATAAGTATAAGCCAACGTGTGTATTTTATTGCGCTTCTTGTTGGAATAAATAAGATAATTAATATGTATTAATTAATCTCTGTGGTCACGTTTAGAGGAAGTTGAAAATTATTGATGCTGTCTACAGAACATATGGTTTGTAGTTATATTAGAAATTTCAAATAAGTAGGTTATTAAAAAACGGATTGATCGAAACAATTATTTTAACGAAATCACACACTACTTTCACTCCAATATTATTGTATAGGTATTTGTGAATTGAAAGAAAGGGTTCAAGTTGTGAATTGTTACTTTTTTGAATTCTTTTTTGCTTAATGTCTTAAAGTATTTAGAATCACTTACTTGTGATCAGAAATGATCTTATACATATATATTTCCTAATCTAAGTTAAGTCTCATCTTTTAATTAATATGTTTAATTAAAAGATGTATATTGGAAAATTGATTAAAAGATCAATTTTCCAATATACAAAAATTATTTTAATGTGAAAAGAAGATATATATCAACATAATATAAGTTGAAGAAGGCATACTCCTCGCAAAGAAGAAAAATTGCAGGCAATAAGAAAAAAGACGTATGTATTAACCTTGTCTGCGGCTGCTAATAGGTCGTCGGCCATCTTGTCGAGATTAGGCGCGCGCCCCGTGTAGATAAAGCGAAGCATCTCCCGTAGGACCTCGTGGTCTACGTCAGTGATGTCCACGCGATTTCTTTTCCTCTCCTCCATTTCATGTTCGAACATAGCTGCGAACACTGGACTCCGCGCTGCAAGAATTAAAAATGGATTATTTTATAAAATTACGTAAATATTCAGACTCTAGCTAGTCGTAAGATGTAGCCATAGGATACATCTTACACCTGCCTAAATCATTAGGACATCTTAGAGAATAACGAAATTTTGTTTACATTACTTTGACATGTCTTCTGGTGGATAATTTTGAAATAAAAGACTAAGTTGTAATTACTGCTGTCAAATCAATATCCATCATTCTTCATAATTTGTTTTTCGTTGTTAAAGTCTATGTCAAGGTAGTAAAATGAATAGGAATAACGCTATGGTTCTCTAACCAATACTCTTATTAGCTAGAGGAGTTAGGCCTTCGCTCTGCTGTATTCTGATATCCGAGAAATGTTGAAAAAGAAAGATTTATTAAATCGACGCAGTTATGCATAAGTTAAGTCACTCATATTATCAACGAAACTGTAACTCAGACTCTTTCCGGCTATTTTTAAACTTGCTGTTTACACTTCAAAACAGAGTTTGTATTTTACTGGGTTAATATTATTGTGACATTGCGACTTGAGAAACCTCAGAAACAAATCGAAAACTTTGCCACAACAGCTTCGTTTGAAGCGGTTACAAAGAAATTTGCAATATTTCTTAAAGTTTCTCTCATAAAATGAAAAGATTTTTGTGCTGTTGAACGCGTCATGTATTTATAAATCAAAATATAAAGAAATTAAATACAATAAAAAAAAAATTTAAACTCACAAAAAAAACACTGATTACTTCACTGGTGGTAACGAATTATATGCTAATTACTTAAACATTTTCCAATGTTTTAGATAAAACTCACGGTTCGTATGATATCACGAATTTCGAATGTTATCGTTATAGCTTTCAGGAACTAATAGATAGAAGCCTATCAAATCGCTAAATCAATTAAAACATATTTTTATGCAAGTTTCGGTATAAAGCACGCGCACCCACACGTGAAATATATATGCATTGCTAAAAAATCATATCATACGAGTGTATTCTGTATTGTAGTGGTGACCTTTGGTTTATATCGAACTCAAATGAGGAAAAATACCACAATTTCCGTACAAATATACTTTTAAGTACCTACAATAACATATTATTGAAAAGCTTGCTTAATTAAAGTTATTGTTTTCTATACCTACCTAATCTAGTCAATTGGGGTTATCGCATAAAAAGTAAATTAAATATTAAATGTAATAAATTCGGAGTCAACCTTCAAAAAGGTCAAATATAACAATTAGAACTGTTTTCAAAATAGGGAAGGTAGATTTGATGAAATACCTGCTAATATAGCTTTATGCGCTTGGAATTCTCTGCCTCCGACAGCTAACGTTACATCAGAGAACCTTTCATTGTCGAAGAGCGCGCCTAAATCGTCGGAGAGTCTGCATTCTGGCACTTTGAACTGCATCACATTGCTCTGTCCGCTTATGTTGATACTATCTGCGACTACTGACACTTCACAAAATATTGTCAGTTTGTCCTCTGGTAGTAATCCGTTCGCCTCGTCTAATAAGAAGTCTCTGGAAAAGAGAGATAAGATATTTTGGTTAATTACGGAAGCTATCTGCTTATGAAATTTTCTGATTTTACCAGCTAAACATCCAGTTTTGTATGACTACAGGTGAAAGTTAGAAATTCCAGAGAAAAAATGAAAACACTATTACCTACATGAAATCCATTGTGATGGAATTCAAGTACGTCGGACGTATACGAGGTATATGAAAAATAATGAGAACGACATAAGTATTGATAGAACTTCGAAGAAATAATTGTTATGTGACCCTGACCTTGAATTTTAACGAAAACTGAAATATGTGTTCATTAATGACTTACTTATGTTTGAAAAAATGTTTCTAAAGGAACAAGTTTTTCTAAAATTACGAAAGACTAAGAAAGGATGCTTCTCTATTCCTACATGCCAAGGCCCACTACAGAGCTCAACCACGGAAAAATGACGACCGAAGTTGATCCCCGCTTAGATAGCTATTCAACGTTTGTTAAACAGGTAAAAGTTGAATACAATGTATTAGACTGTTGCTCTTAAAGGTTTTTATTCAAAACGATTTAGAAAGGTTATGTTCATAGTTTGTACTAAGATCATATGGAAAAGGTCCATCATCCCAGCACTATAAGCCTAAATGGTGCCTTCGAAATCTTTGACGAACCTTCATATTCATTCGGAACTTTGTACTTTGTGTTTTCATTTATTTCCGCAATTGGCCAATGAAAAGTATTCGTATATTTTATTTGAATATGCCGATGAGTGACATTGCAGTTTCATTTAGTATCCCAGGAGTTTGGAAGAAAGATATATATTAACTCTAAAGAAGCAAATGTACTATGAAAATAAAAGATTCTTATCGATCATTGAAGACCGACTCGAAGAGAATGACGTAACCTTTTAATCCCTACAAGGAACGAGTCAAATGTTCCAGCAGTGTAAATTTCGTTATTTTTATATAGACAGACAATCAAATTAGAATTCTCTAGACAGTCGTCGGTGGAAGTTTTTGAGCATTGTTGATCACAGCCCAGAATACTAATAATAGCTTTCAATCGGATTTAAAATTATTTTATTATATCATAGAGTAATCTGAAAGAATTATTGTTATAAAACATTTATTAATTTCGCATAATAATTTTGAATGCAATAAAAAATTTAGTACATTTAATTCAGCCAGCCAAACACATCAAAGGCTATAAAATTAAATCTTCATGTTTGTTAATCTCAAACGTGTTAAATAACAATTTATTACATAGGAAGCGATCGGTAAACATCTGACATTCATCAGAGCTTCCTCCTTTAACAGGATCTATTTATACTTCCAAGGTGACTAACGGTTAATACATTATTGCGTGGTGTTACTATCCCGAGTAGGTTTTACGTCAAAACGTTAAGTTAAAGTAGAAAAAGTAACTTTCCATTATTGCCTCAAAAGTTCGCTTTGTTGTTCCATGTCACTGTTCCCAAACCTTTGATGGTCCAAGTATAGGAACAGTCATTTCAAACATCTGTCGCTCTTGATTTATCGGAAAGATACAATGTAGGTGTTATCTTAACCTTCTCGGTTATGTAGCATCGGTCTCAAGGTTCCGTTAGCCGTTTGTTAATATAGGAGCGGATTTAGCTCAAAGGCAAGCGTTTAGGTAAACCGAGACAACCGTTTTAGTTACTTGTGTTTGCGAATTAGATTCATGCTCGGTATATGCGCAGCCTTTGTGTAGTTTGAAACCAATGTCAAGTATTGTATTGTTATAATTTCATCAAAAGAGATATTCGTCAATAACACATTGTAATATGATTACAGAACAGTTTTATTTTACAGTTTGAATGTTGAATCAAAATGAATAAAACGAGGTGTACAAGTTAAAGAACCTCTAAACTAGTTTTACTACTACCCCAAGAGTCAACCCACATGTTATTATCACACGAAGGGTACCTACTCCCTGTTTAAGTCAAAGGGGTTCTGCCCTTTTTTTACTTCAAACGATGTTTAAACACACCGAATTTTAGAATTACGTTATAACTACTTTTTAAAATATACTGTTTCACTGTCAATATCACCGCTATGTCCTTGCATATGATAAACAATCCTGTTTCGCAGTTTCCACACCAATTTATTACAGGTATAGGAATACTGCGTCATTGCCGTATGAGACGACTTCGTTTCGCATTAATACATATATAAAAAAAAAACAAACAATGTAATTACAAGACAGGTTGCATCAAAGATGACTAAGATCATTTTAATTGAAATAAAAAAACGGATTTCGGAATTGCTTTCATAACTTGTTTACTTGAACACTTAGATATTAGTTTTGACTGGCTGGTTTTTTTCGATATGATATTTTCGCAAAAACAATCACTTAATGTTTAGGTTGGCTGTTTAGATAATAATTATTTTAATAACAACAATAACTTTGTTTTCGACTGACATCGGATATTATGAAATGCTTTCAACGAACAACGAATTGTGTCATTTATTTACTTGAGCAATAGGTAAATGTATATGAAACTCACCTTCTAATAAACTTTTTGAAGCCCCAATCTTTCCCTTGCACGAATCTGTACGCTCGCTGTGACTCCATCGCTTTTGTTTCTTCTCTTTTAGCATTTAATATTGAGAATTTGAACTTTGCACGCACTTCTGATTTATTACAAGACACTAATAATAAATATAACGATAAATAGTCTTTACTCTCTTCATCGAGTCCTTTTGGATTAACACGCAAACACCATTTTAATTTATCACTAGCACCGGCTGAGAAAGTCGATGATTTTAACACTTCACCCATTTCTTCTCTACAGAAACTAAAATTATTTATTGTCCACATGTAACTGAATTTGACCACTTTGACCTGGAAAGAGAAACAAAATTCTGCGTTAATTAAGAACAAGGATTACTCTACACGCGTTACTAAGGCTATTTCTACATTTATATGTTTAAAATTAACGAACGAAACGTTGAAACTAATAAAATATTTGAATATTCTTAGAAAATGTTCACGTTAGGAACTTATAAGGTTTATGTTAAGTGCATTTTTTTCGTAATTGGCTCTTCTATGAATTAGCCAGTATCAAGTTTCAGGTTACAAAGATGTGATTATTAATTGTACGGCTTTGCATTGCCCTTTAAAAGACTGCATTTTAAATAATTTTAACAATTAATTCATATTGATAATTTGACATTTAGTACTGTTGATAGGGTAAAAAATTTACAAACTCAAAATTAAATATGGAATAACATGTTACTGCAGATGCAAAGACTTCAGTAAAGTCTTTGCTGAAATCTATGACGTATTATATATAAATGAATACCTATTTTCTTTGGTCACGCTATCACACGAAAAATTAAGAAAATTGTGTGGAAATTTGCAAATTAATAACTTTTATCCACCATATAAAATTATTTCTAATCTAACCTATGTTTTGGATAATATAAACCTTTTTAACGTAACCTTATGACGTTTGACATAGAATTGACAGAATTCAATATTCATAATTAAGTCAGGACAAGGTCTGTCGGGTCAGTTTGGTACCTAATAATTGAACGAATAGATACTATTAGGAAATGGTACTTTGTGCATTCGCACCGGCACGCCCGGTTATAAATCTTCCCGAAACGATCTCTGGTCTATTATACTCGTACTCCTTACAATTCCTTTGTGCTTTGTCACTAATTACCTAGTTGACAGGTATCAAGTAAAACAAGCATTTAGTTAAGGCGCGCGTTTACGACTCACGTAAAGAAATAACAATTAGTTTTATTTAAACAAATAATAATGGTGCCAATTCTGTTGTAACCATCTTAAAATTAGAAACTAAGTCTTGTTTGTGCAACAGAATTGCCAATACTATCATCTTTAACAATAATGAAAGTTTTTTTTGTATTAATTTGCCATTGATAATACGTCATCTAAGATTATTAACATCTTTTTTAAAGAAATAGGCTATTTATTGTACTTTTATATCAGTAAAATTATCAAAAAAACAGAATACAAATCAGAATCTTTATAGGATTATAACATTAGCGCTGCACACAGATAAATTTAAATACACTCAATAAAATTACGTTCCCATATGCAATGTAACATTCACTTTTTCTATTATAATATTGTGGTAATTATAAGAGGACTAAAATTTGTTAAGGAACAAAGGTATGAGATGTCATTGATAATATTAAAAAGATGTCGACTGCGCCATTTTAGTTGCGCAATTTTTTATTATTATCGTTCGCTATCAGCCTACGTCATAACCGTGTTACGTCATGCCAAGTGGGTGGTTAAGCCCTAATCTAGGCAAGCTACTAATAAAGGCTGACATAAGTCAAGCTGAGCACGTGTCTAGGGCCTATGGTTCGTCAGGGTGGACCGTGAAGGTCAGGAGATGGTCGCAACGCGCGATGGTCTCTGGTCGTTGCCCCCGACCGTTGCTTGGCTTGCGGGCTCGGGGCTTGCGGTGCTGCTGGGGTCTTCGCCCGGTCGCCGACCCGTTCCAAGGCCGCCCGCATCATCCCCGCTCGCGGACACTAAGATAACGTCCATTTGCGGATTTCAAATATACAATTTACCACATCTATCTACCACAAACAGAGGACAATATTCTCTGAGCCACAGAGTTGTTTCTTTAAAGGCTTATATTATTCTTTACTAATCACATTGAGGAATTACTAACCAGCTATATGAAGAATCAGTTGGAATATTCATGTGCATACTTTATTTGTTATGTAACAACAACAAAGTTATTTTTATTACAAATGTAGTTGTGCAAACGTAGTTCGCTATCGACAATCTGACTATCGTAAAATTTGAGTGCTGCATTAAACCCACAACGATCTGATGTGATTAGGTAGCTACCTACCTACTCATATAGCAATGTTTTGATGATACAGAGCGAACTTCATTTGAATCGAACATTAATTCAGACGACAACACGCGAGGTTTATTGTTGATGAGTTTCCAAGTAATGAAGAGTGGTTATCGCGGCACGTGTAGCTGCGACAGGGCGTAGTTGGTGACACGTGTTACCTGCACCTTTAGCATTGGAGATTCACGCCTGTATATTAAACAAAGTATGTTAGTATGCTACATTTATAGACGTCACGGAGACAATATATTACAGCTCTTATGCCTTAGCGAACATAAAGGTATACGTGCCGTTATTAACGGTCTACGAACCATTATCAACGAACGCGTCGAAATTGAAAAACTTGACTCAGACCTTAATAAGTATACATGCCTAACCGTCGACGTGCACCGAGCGAAAATATACCGTTATCTTTAGCGAACTAAATAGATTTTTCGGCAAAAAGCATTAAAAAATGTAACACCGGGTCGGTGGTTAAGTCGTACAACGGTCGACCCAATTGTCTTGACCACTGTACAACGTCCGAGTTCAAATCTGGAGGAAACTTTTCAAGTAGACTGAGAAATATTAAATGAGAGCAAATTTTTGAAGAGAAGAACGCCTAGATATGTATATCTATCAAACTTCACTAGTCAATATAAATAAGTAATAAAGACTCCAAACTCCAATTTGATGTTAGTATATAACCAATACCTGTTGAAGAACGTATGCGCCTATATGATGGTCGAAGAAAACTAAGACGTGAGCACTGCTCTTTGTACCTAATGCCTTATGTAACGTACCCACGTGATAGTTAAATAAAATATTGTTATATTCATGCAAACATTATTTAGCTTTGGAGCTGAATTTATCAACAATTACCTTCAATATCGCAAAACGTGACGATCGATCGGTCGTCACGTTGACAGCAGTTACGTATCCAGAATACGAAGGGTTATCATTATAACCCTCACAGAAAACATGGTAGAAAAGATGCTTGGAGGCTAGCCAAAATTGAATTTATGAAATATTGAGAATGATCTGTTATCGAAACTATATAAGAGTCCAACTAATAAGTTATATCAATATAGGTACCTAACACAAACAGTAAATAAAAAAATATTTAATAGTTCGTCAAAAAATATATAAAAATTATAATTAGATAACATTTATTCAGGCAAATATTAATAAATTCTTAAAAATGCTAGTCATATATATTCAATTATATTATTATTACATTAATTATAGCTACCTATTTGCATTGACTTGACGCACCTATCCTTTTATAATAGGCTCAGTAAATATGTATGTCTACATGAATAACGCTTCCTTGTTGGCTAACAAGTTAACACAATCTAAGCATTCGTATTTCAAGTTCACCGATAACTGCTCGTTATCGTTTCGAGGTAGCAACCACAACTGACGAGTTTGTTATTTACGACGCCGCCGTCGACCGTGGACAAAGTTTTACGAGCCACTGAAATCAAACATCTGATATCTTAACAATTCCTATGAAAAAACTCCATCATGAATGTTAAAAATTAAAAATTACAGAAACAGTTTATATAAACTGTAATTGATTACACCCCATCCTATTACTACATGTGATGTGATGTGTAATCTAATTTCTATATAAAAATCCCTCCCCAACGTTATTAATAATATCTTACAATATAAAACCAAACAGTGGTCAAGTGCGAATTGGAGTCGCCCATTAAGAGTTCCGTAACTGCAAGCGTACATTAGTCAGAAACTACTTTGTTTTTCATAGTCTTTGAACAAATAACAAAGTCATATTTGCGGTTATTGCAAATGTTCTGTATATCAAAAACCGCTGAATATATCACGTCCAAACGAGTGTTCATTGAATTTTCGATAGTTTAAGAATCTCGTTAAAGACTTCTACAGAATACGCGTAGGTTCGCCGAGAAATGATCATGTCACACGTAAATAACAAGATATGTGATGCCAATTAACAACCAGATCACGTTCACGGTGACCTATAATTGGAAATCATTGACGGTTACTAATTGAATTACTGAATTTTAACAAACACCAATCCATAATTTGCTTTACGACATATCATTACTTGTCCATTGATACTTTTAACGAATGGACCATTACAAAAGAGTCAAGTTGCTAATTTTTCAAAATCTAATTCGTAGAAACTACGAATATTAATAAAATATTCGGACTTTCTTATTTGGAAAAAAATTTTGCATGAAAAGAACGATTTTTCTATGAAAGAACTGACAACTGACTGCATTAAACTGACTTCGTACAAGCAGATTATCAATATGTCTTCAAAAAAATACACATTATGTATTACTAATACATAATGAAAATTTTTGATCTTATATTTGAGACACTTGCGGCACTTCTTCTTTGCGACCATCGTGAGAAGTTTATATTGAGCGAAGCAACGGATTAAAATTCTATCCTCTTTCTGCGAATGCTCAGATTTAGAAAATAAACTAGCATCCTCTGACTTTTTTGATCTGTCAAAATTCACTGCCCTGAAAGATCTATCAGCAAACCAATAAGGTTTGAACTGACCAATCCTGGTCGGCCTGCTGATAGTTGATTTCATGATAGTGGACTTCATTTTAACACATCAGTCATGTTTCAGTTACGAGATAGAGATGCTGGTATGATAAATACTAATTGACTAAATTAACTTTTTATGTCAATCCTTTTTGAACAGTGTTGATTCCTTCTTTCTTCTCAAAGGTAAGTACCAATAACGCTAACGAGCCTAATGGCTATAGTCTGGTTGTTTTCTAGTATACCTGTGTGAAGCACCAGTTCTCTGCGACGGGCGTGTTCCCGTCGTGCAGCGGGCTGGGCACACGGCTCACCGCCATCCCGCCGGCGCCGTTCGATGAGACGCGCGCCGACTGAGGAGCGGGCGCGCCGCCGCCCGACCCTCCGCCGCCACACTCGCTGCCCGACCCGAGCCTGAGGTAACAGACAAAACCCATTATTATAGGTAAACATAAAACACAAATGTCAAGGTTACTCTACACTTAGAGTATTTTTATTCGCGAAGTCGCGCTTGTCGTGAATTTCAATTCAACATAAGTGAAAGACACTATCCGACGAAGGATTTAGACCTGAAGGTCTTTTAAGAATTTGATTTTATAAAAAATCCTATACCTGTAAGAATTTAACCAGCCACCATAACGCAGTCCAATTCATACTACCAAATCATAAATAACGAAAAGTTAATAACGAACAACAATTTTGTTTTGAAGGAAGCAATAAAACTTTTAAGATGGATCTATGTTCTCCTGCACGTGGTTCATTTACTACAGAGGTTTGGGTTTAATCTAACACAGTAATCTTACTTAAGGAAACTAAATAAAGAAACGGTGGTTTGTCGCATTCTTTGCCTACCTGTTGCTTTTATTGCGCTCCTAACTGTTCAAACTTAAGCAATCACTTGCTACTATTATCAAAATAAATCTATCAAAACGGCAACAATGTAGAATGAATACTCGTGCCCCAGTTTGAATATGGTGTTTAGAGCAACAAAAAATGAAATCAAATATCTTTTATATTATAAAGTCGTGCTTGGTTAGTTTTAAAATAACGGTTGTATTTTGCTTCTATAAATTGGTAATGAAAATTGATAGATCGGCAGTCGATAACATGACACATTTCTGAAAATCTCTATAAATCGATTATAGTATGATGCTATTTTAAAATCCTTACAAATTAGACTAATTGCGTAATACTCCATACTGACCTCAATTTATTTCAGTCTATTAACATTTAAAGTGCAGCTTTTAAATTGAATAGAGATTATTGGATTTTTACCAATTGACCCACTAGCAAGGCAATAAGTAACTACTTCTCATGGATTTGAATGCAAGGCGAAAATGTAGCAACGTCGTAATACACCAATCAACGATTGCAGTTTCGCTTCCCAAATCTGGGACGCGAACACAATACACACTAACACATTTACTCCGGTACGTGCGTACTGAGAGCTGCTGTCCGCGAACAATAACAACGCAACGAAAGAAGAGCTGAGTATCATTTAGCTTTTCGGTTTCGGTGCCGTCAAAATGTCGAGAGTATCTACCAAAGTGGGACATTTACAATGCGTGAGATATGACCGTCCTGTGAGACTTTCACGAGCTGTAGTTCGATTACCAAATACGCGTTAGAATCTGTGTCAGTTTCATCACCACACTGCATCCGCTCACGGTGAGTGCGGCCGTTGTGTGGTGATTTCACGTACCTACACGGTCCGCCCATAATCACCGGACATTCACTTCATCAAGCGTATCCTGCAACAAGACACCGCAAAGAAGCCGTAATAATAACGAAAGCTTCCATTTTTCCGGTTCAGTTGCATCGACTGCAAATTTAAAAGCTTGCGTTCTGCCCTTGTTATTTACCTTCCTCTGGCATTGACATATGTTAATATGATACAATATATTAGGACTATCCACAACAAAGGCAGAACGTGTCTGCACGTGAGGGGAAATCGGATTTACATTTCACGCCCATTATAATGTTGGTATGTTCAACGTCAAAAGAAAGTGTTAATTTCACCTTTTTTTATAAAAACTTTATATGTATATTATATTAGAGGACGTATGTATGTTTTTATACTAATGTTTGCGATTTTGTCATAAGTGTGACACAATTGATTGACCTTATTTCAGATTAAAAAAAATTATATGGATTCGATATCAGTGCATTTGAACACGTGTTTCATGAACAGAAGTTTATGGTTAGTAATTTCGCCAAGCTTACAAATAGCTACGGTAATAAAAGTGCAAGTACTTGAAACATTAACAACTTAAATGAGATGTTTAGGTGCTCATTTTTCGTCGTACAGAGCAATAAGTATAGTTGACTTGTTATTTTCACCACTTCTACTTTACGTCTTAGCGATGTTTCAGTGTTACTTGATGCAACTAAGTAACTTTAAAAAATATATTGAATAATTAACGAAAATATCTTAAAGTTCACAATAATAAAAAAATGTTGGTAGTCATTATCTAAGTAGAAGTTTAAAAAAGCATTGAGCAAGATGTGTGACGAGAGCAGTTGCATATAGAAAACGGTGGACCATAAACAAATTGCGACGACAAGGTCGAACTACATGATGTCTTAATTGAACAATCGTTCAGCTAACATCGCGGACAGGAAAAGCTCAAACTGCATGAAACATATTGTTTAAATTACAACGATGAATCATCCCTTAAGAAAGTAAACACATCAAAGATGTATGTCGGAGCATAATAATTATGTCAAGTATTAAAAAAATGTCACAACATAAAATAAAAGTAGGCTAAGTGAATTAATCGACGTGACCCAGAAACTGGCAACGATGACGGAGAACGTTACAGCGATGGCTCCAACTATTTGAAATAGGCTGTCTTTACTGATGGGACTGTGATTAGATTATTTATCTAGCAGCTGGTATCTATAAATCCTACGATACTTTTTTTAAATTGGTGAAATTTATTTAACACATCATTGGACCAATTTAAAATTTCTCACGTTCTAGTGGTGCAAGTGGAGATAAGATACTGTTCGAAATGAGTTGTCGAGGTCGATCAACAATTTGCCACTGTGACAAATGGAGCGGTCCGACTGACCTACATACGATTACAGAAAAGCGCTTCTATGAGGATTAACAATAGATGAATCATCTTACTACTCATCCTGTGTCAGGCATAATATTAGGTAAAAATATTCTCATACTAGTGGACGCCCGCGACTTCGTCCGCGTGGAAGTCGGTATCCCGTGGGAGTGAGAAGTTTTCCCAGTAAAAAGTACCCTATGTGTTATTCTGATGTATAACCTATATTGCTGTAAAGTTTTATCCAAATCCGTCCAGTAGTTTTTTCGTGAAAGAGTAACAAACATCCATACATCCATACTTACAAACTTTCGCCTTTATAATATTAATAGGATAGGATTATGATTAATTGAACATCAAATATATTCAGTTTTATAAGATACAGCCAAAATTGTAAAGTAAGTAGGCCGAAATAATTTCGTTTGAATTGACGTGAGACCACCCATCTAGATAGAAGGGACCTGTGGAAGGGACCAAACAAGAGTAACAACATAAAGCACGATTGATATGGGCCCTTATGCTTATGGTTTCTACTCATCATTATTTTTGTTAAAACGTTTTGATGAAGCTGACATACTTATTATTTAATAATAATTTTAATTATAATAAAACGACCTTATTAAAATCAAAAGTTTGTAAATATGTAATAATTATTTAGAAAAGCGATCAACTATTAAAAATAAATTCTTTTAAGCACTTTAGTTTCGGAGATCAGAGATAATTGGCATAAAACCCAAAGCCATTTATCCTGAAATTATGACAAAACCATTTATCCTGAAATTATGACAAAATAAAAATGTAATATTCTCACAATAATTCCTTTCATTTGATATGTGTATATTTATAGTTAGAAAATATAAAAAAGTTACGCAGAATATAATAGTTGTAAGTTATTTTCCAAAATGAATACAAAAATTGTATCTTTCGTAATATAGGCAGACACCTGGAAGAGTGTATGTAACGTAATTGGGTGGAATATGCATTTATTATTCGTTATTTTATTTATTATTCGTTATTATTTATTTATTATTTGATTATTCGTTATTTTATTTAAATACTGAATATAATAATATATTGAATATTAATATACGCTTTAATTAAAATAAAACGTATTTATATTAAATGTTTATTAATTAAATTTTGGTTTAGGTGTAAGTAAATTTTTCAATATTTCTCTATAAAATAAGTTAAAGATGAACACTTTACCATAATATTACATATTTTTTTAAGCTTTATTATATAATTATTTAGATATTATTATTATTTTAACATGTAAGTTGCTCCAAACTTCAAGTAATTTGAACAAAGATGACTTACTTGAAGATCTTGATAAGATGTCATTGAAACAAAGTTTTGACGGTCTTTACATTTACGTATTTCATCGTTAATAGCAAAACAATTTTAAAATGATGCAGTGGATGTACAAACTAATATACAAACTAATATACAAAAGATGGGTCATACAACCAAGTAACATGCATACGGCACTAACACAGAGATTCTTTTTCTACTGTGGTGTTAGGGACAAAACCATAATTGTTTATTCTACTCGCCTATGAATATGAGTTTTGTTGGACTTCACTTCGAAGTCAACAACCCGTGAAAGCTTGAGCAATCTACGTAGTACATATCACTGGTCTCCCGCGGTCTTATTATAGATGTCACCCGACCTGCTCGCATCCTCTTCTATATTTAAAGTCCTCGCGACGTCGTTTCACAACATTTTTGGGGTCGGATTATAAATTATATCTACCAAATGCGTGATTTAAAACGAGATCTGTCCTATCGGTTTTTAAAAACTCGTTTTCCAGAAAGCTTTAATATTCTGTGTCTGAACCATGCATTATTCAAGACCCAAAAAAATTAAATACATTTACAAATATCAAAAGATCAATAGTTATTGAACATGAATAAATTCATTTAAATACATCCTTGTCGCGTCATTCAAATACGCGTTATGGAAAATAAATGATTGGAGGTTAATTTACTTATAGCAAACCTGAAAAGGTTGACAATAGACCGTGGACTGCCATAAATTTGCAATCAATAATAAAAATGGCGGCCACTTGGCGAGACAATAGAAACAGAATAAGGACGAACAAAACAATGAACGCCCTGCTTGATACGCATATGAGTGATTTTATTTTTTAATCGTGGCTCATTGATGCATGGTTCGGTTGAAGGGGGAGGTGAAGAGTGAGCAATGCCCTCTTTACGACGACTGCATGCTGTGACTCAGACGCCCTGAGGACGACCCGACATTATAGGGTCCTCGACTGTTCTGATTGTGAAGGACGACTTGTTTACCGCGACTGAATTTTCCTTAGAGATGAAATTTATTCAGTGGTTTATACA